TACTGCTTTAAATTGGCCCTTGTCTCAAAAGATCACATGTAATATGCCCAGCAAATATTTGCTGGAGAAATTAAAAGAGCAGGGAAATGTGGCAGAAAAAACCCTCTCCGGCCAGTATGCTTCAGTTTGCTTAGCTGCCCAAGTAATAATTCCTGTTCCAGTTTTGGTTGTTCCTGTTTCCTAGAAAGAGCTGGTCACTGTGATGCACACTGTATAAACCAATCACCAGTCGACAAGCCACTCTTCTCCTGTACTTCCTACTTGCTCATCTCATATAAGCCCTAGACCACCGAGATCAGGACCTGATATTCTGGGAATGATCCCGATCAGTGCCTGTTGATATAAATAAATCTGCCTCCAAATCCTGGGTTCAGTATTTCTCTTTGCCACTGAACAGCCTCCTGAGTGCTGGAATTATAGGCAGGTGTCATCAAACCCAGCTTTGATTACTTGGTTGATGTTATGGGATGAGTAGCTCAGCCTTTGGGGTCCCCAGAGCTTTTGCCCTAAAACTCTAATAACAGTACCAGGGTTCCATTTCGTAGTTGTCTGAATCTAGAGCCTAAATTCTTACACATTCCTTTCTGTATGTCCCAGGACAACGTTGGCTTCTATCTGTTATGACCATATGCATCAGTGTAGTTACTAAAAATGTTCTCTTTATGGGCTTGGAGGTGTGGTATAGTGGAAGAGTTTTTATCTAGCATGTATATAAGGCCCTGGATTTATCAATCGATCAATCAATCATCAAATAAAAATGTTCTCTTTAGAAAAAGGAACAAATCTTACATATAAAAGAATTTCAGGCTGGGCATGGCGGTGCATACCTGTAATCCCAGCACTGGGAAACTGAGGCAAGAGGATCGCTATAAGTTTGAAGCCAGCCTGGCTGCAAAATGAGTTCAAGACCAGCCTGAGCTACGTAATGAAAATACATCTCAAAAGACCAAAAAAAACCAACAAAAAAAAGAATTTTAAGTGATATATGTAAATATCCCTCCTCCAAAAGATGAAGCCGAGTTCTAGACTTTCTCTTCTTGATTGTGAACTGACCTTAATACCTGGACTCCAAAGATAAGAGTAGGGAGAGGGGAAAATTTGACATCAGAGAGTCGTGGAAGAGGCCTCCTTAGTCCCATGATCATGAGGAGTAAAAGTCACACGGATTTCACATTCCCCAATATGATGTGATGATGAGAAGGGTACTTTACTTACGTGGTCTACTTCAAAACCTATAACCCCTCAGCCATTCAGACAAAAATGTCAGGCAAAGCCAAAAAAAAGGGCCCAGTACTCCTGCAACACCATCCAGGTCAAGAGAAAAAAGGGAAGGGTGAGAAACTCTCAGACCTGGCAATGCACTGCGGTTCCTGGAAGACTAAATGGACTTTATTGGGACAAGTGGTACAATCAAAATAAAGTCTCGAGAGTTTAGGGAGCAGTACAATGCCAATGCTGGTCTTGATGAATGTCTTATGGTAATATAAGAAGCCAACATTAAAGGAAATGGAACGGAAAGTATATGGGAATTATTTGTTCTATGTCTGCAACATTTTGAAAATCTAAAATTATTCCATAAAACATAAGTTTTATTTTTAAGAAGTGTTCCTTTTTATTCATAAAAGTATCCAGGACCACCTGATTATAATTCTAGCCCTGCCTCTTAGTATATTTGTATGGTTATAACAGTATCTGACATTGGTAATTTATAAAGTATGATAAGAAAAAAACTGAGCCGGGCGTGGGGGCTCACTCCTGTAATCCCAGCACTCGGGAGGCTGAGGTGGGAGGATTGTTGCAAGATCAAGACCAGCCTGGGCTACAAAGTGAGCTCAAGGCCAGCCTGAACTGCATAGTGAGACCCTGTCTCAAAAAAGACAAAAAAGAAAAGAAGAGGAAAAAAACTGAATGCTTAAATTTTTTTTATTTTTTTGAATGCTTAAATTTTTAAACAGGTTTTATTACACTGAATGACACTTCGACATTAACTGTCCCCTCATCCCCCCTTCTTTGAATATACTTATCCCATTGTTCTAGCCACTTTCTGAAGCAGTTCTGAAAGTCCTCTTTCCTGAATGTCTTTTTTAAGAACACAAATCAATGTCCTAAATCAATTCAAAACAGCAATTTCTGTCAGATAAAAACATGATGATGTGTCCTCATTCACTTTATGTACCTGCTCAAGGACTGAGAAACTTAGGGTTTTTCCTCAAAGTCAAAATGACCATGAAAGGTAAATATTTTGAATCGACTCATAACATTGAAGCCAACACACACATGTGTGCACACACACACGCACACAAAGACTTCCAGAAATCTTCAGACAGTGGCAAGACCAGTAAGTGTATTCAAAATGAGGGGAAATTTGGGGGGGAAATCAATGGTCATGTGTGTCACTGTAACAATTTATTATTAATTTAAATGTTCGCCGTATTTTTTTATTCACATCTCTCATAATCAACAGAAAGTTATTGGCTTATAGTCCGGAAGGTTAAAAAGACTAAACTCAAGGCACCAGCAAGTTCAGTGTTTGGCGAGGCCATTTTCTTCTTCCAAGATGGGACTGCCAATATGTATCTGCTGGAGGGAAGAAACTCTGGATCCTCCAGAAGGTGGAAAATCAAGTAGGAAAAATGGATTTAAACTTACCATTTTAAAGTGGTATTAATCCCACCCACAAAGGCATAGTCCTCCAGGCCTAGTTACCTTATAAGGTTTCTATCTCTTAATGCTGTTAAAATCAAAGTGGGTTAAACTCCAACATGAGTTTGGAGGGCACAAACCCTAGAAGACTCAAGCCAAGAAGTCTAAGAAAATCACCCACAGCTTCTTTGATATGATATTAACATTTGTGGCAATTTAAAGTTCACAAAGTTCAGATGTAGCAAAATGCACTGGCTAAAGCTTTGGAATCAGAAAGCTAAGGGCTGAAGCCTGATTCCCCACTTGCTTGCCTGGTGGTCTTCAGCATATTATGTTTTTCTTTTGTGCCTCAGTTTCTACAGCTGTCAAACACATTAAATGATGACAATAACTAGCAGTATTGCTTGAGTCCATGCTTGATGTCCAGCACCGTAGTGCTCAGGGTGATGTGCCATCCTGCTCCCCCTTCAGGATGGCACAGAGCGCTGTGACTGTCAGCCCTCTACGGGACTGAATGCTGAGAGCCCCAATCGTGCTCTTCTCTGGAAGACTGCCTGCATCCAGGGCACGATCCAGTCCATACAGCACTTTGGACAATTTTGAAGTCCATCTCCGCCACAGAGCACTCCTTGTGGTTGGCTGAGGCCTCTGGGAAGACTGCCCTACTGCCCAGCATCTCGCTGCCCTACGCTGCTTCCTGACCCTCCCCCAATTTGGAGTCTTGAGAGTGCTCTCCATGAGTCCCCTGCACACCGATCTCCATCTCAGTCTGCTGCCCGGGGAAGTATCCACAACGGGACCGAGAACCACTGACCTGTACTTCTTTCTCAAGTGTTCTACAGCTGAAACTCTGAGGTCAGAAAGAAAATTCAATTGGCCATGGACACACCACTAAAAGACGATAATACCACATACGGCAGAAACTGAAGGCAGGCTGATTCACCCAAAGCACTGAGCTATCAAAGGCAGTAATGCCGGGATTTGCCTCTAGGTCATATGCACCTACTTAGCCCAGGCTTTTTAAAGGATCACTATAGGCTCTGGGATAGGTAACAGCCTCTCACCTCCTCACACCACTTTCCCTGAAGCTCACTAAATCTGCAAAATGGGAATAACAGTGATACTTAAGTGGGCAGCAAGAGGAAGGAGGAGCAACCTGAACAGAGAAACCAGCATGAGCAAAAGCCATCTGGAAGCAAGAACTGCAGAAAGATGACAAAGGCTAGGGTGACAACCAGAAAGGGAGGAGGGGAATCCAGGCCCCAGGAATGAGTGGTTTTTACCATTCTGGATGGGAACCAGATTATGAAATGCTACTCACTAACTGGGTGCTCTGGGGGTAAATAACTTTATCTTTTTGAGCATCATTTAATTGGCCAATAACACAGCAATAAAATGGTACCAATCTTAAAGGCTGTTGAGGGCACTGAATGAGTCAATGTTTATAAAGCAAATTTGCTACTCACACAGTAGATGCTACAAATGTTTGGAGATAACAGTAGCACTTTATATATGACTGTGTGCATGGCTGTGAGTGGAAAGATACGTGGTTCAGTGAATGGAAGTACGCACGCACGGTAGACTGTTGGATGGAAGTCTGGCTGGGCAATGGAGGTGGCTGGACGATGGATGGCTGAATGCAGTTGATGTTCAGTGGATGGGAGTGTGGCTGGGTAATGAGGTGTTTGGATAAATGGAAGCAGATGGATGAATGCATACATGATGTAGCTGAGTAGACGGGATCGGCTGAGTGAATGCATCTTATTGTGACTGAGTGATGGGTGGTGGTGGTTGAACGGGTGTCTCAGTAGGTGGATCGATAGTTGGGTGGGTGGATAACTGGATGTTGAGTGAGTAAAGGGATGGAAAGGAAGATGAGTGGGTGTGAATGAGTAAATGGTGGTGGAGATGGATAGATGTCAGACAGGGCGAGTTACTGGAGGTGGCTGGATGTTTGGAAGTGTTGGGCAGATGCAGTTGTCAGGTGGTTGAATGAAGGGACTGGGTGGATGACCGAGTGTATGACTGTAGACAGATGAGGACAAGATGGCTGGTGAACAACAGGTGGAGTGGGTGTGGAGACATGGGCCATGGTAGAAAGGCTCAGTGAATGTAAGAGGTCAGTGCGGAGGCAGGAGGGACAGTGGTTAGCTGAGTGGATGGATGAGGATATGGGTGGGTACACGGACGGGCCAATCGGGGACACCACTGCTGAAGCCCCATAATTAACCCCATAAAGGTCACGAAAGGACGCAGGAACAGGCCGGAGGCAAGGCTATCAGGCGGCCTTGCTCCAGCCCCCAGGGCCCCTCCACACACACACCTGCCCCACCCTCCACCCAAGCCCTGCAGCCTACCTGGAGGCAGCGATCTCGGCCTTCTGGCGAGCTATGGCGGCCGCGCGCTGGGCGCCCTCCACGCTGTGCTCCACCTTCTGGCGGACCTTGCTGCTCTTGAGCGGCAACACGCGGCGCTTGGTGGCCTTGACCAGCACGTTGTGGCGGTACTTGCCCTCCTCACGGTGGCCGTCGGGCAGCGTCGTGCAGCCGTAGCCGTGGCGTAGGTTGTCCAGCCACTCGCCCTCGTAGCGGAGGCCGCTGGAGCGCTCGCTCACGCCGAAGCCCGAGCGCTTGTCGTTCTTCCACTCGCCCATGTAGGTCTCGGTGGTGGTGGCGTCGATGTCCGCCTCGAAGGGTGCGGCGTCGTCGGCGCCCTCGCCCAGGCTGGCGGTGGAGGCCGCGTCGCTGGCGCCCGAGCTGAGGTCGCTCTTGAGGAAGCTGACGCGGCTGCGCTGGCTGCCCAGGGACGTGCGCGACTCGGCGCGCCGCAGCTTGCCCAGCAGCGCGCCCCGCTGGAAGAGGCCGCCGCCCTTGGCCGCGCGCGCCGCCGTCTCGGCGTTGGCCAGCAGGCTGAGCGCGAAGCCGCCGCGCGGGATGGCAGGCGAGGGCAGCGCTGGGCCGTCGGGGGCTGGCGACGCGGGCGAGTCCGGGGCCACCGTGCCATTGCTGTGCTCGCTGCGCAGGGACGAGAGCGAGGTGCGCAGCGGCGAGCGCACCACCACGGCCATGCCGTAGGGCACGCTCTGGCGCACGCCGTAGCCGTGGCGCATGCCGTTGGTGAACTGGCCTTGGTACGTCCCTGCGGGCGGGAGAGGGCGCATCAGTGCGTGGCACCACGGGGCTGGCGTGGGCACAGTGACCAGACTGTGCAAGGGCCGGAGCTGGGCAGGCCATCTGTGGCAGGGTGCACGTTATCAAATCCTTGAAATTATGAGTGTGCAAGAACACGATTGGAGCGAGCAAGCCAGGGGAGTCTGTGTGATGGTGTGACTATCTCCTCCTAGGAATGTGGCAGGATCACAAGTGTGCGAGCAAGGAGTTTGTGGGTCCTATCATAAGTGTGTAAAGTTGTGTAATTGGCTCGGGGAATGGTTGAGGTTGATGAGGTATGCTGGCACATGAGCAGAGGAGCCAGAAGGAATTTGCCTCGCACTGTGAATATTTCTGGGGAAACATGCTGAGGTCAGGAGAATGCGAGGTGGAGCAAAAAGTGGGTGCCAGGGTGTTAAGTATAAAGCTATCTGAGCAAATGAGGCGCTGTGAGAATTTAAATGTGTGTGCACAGAGTCTGGATCACACTGAAGAGCGTGACTGCCAGAGTGTGAGTGGACAAGACAGTGTTGTAGAGCACTATGACCGTTTGCAGGGGTGGGAGTGTGCACAGCAGTGTGTGCACGGAGGGTGTCCAAGACCGTACGAGCAAGGCACAGTAGGAAGTAGCACAAAGTTGTGAGAGCATTCAAGGTCCCAATTGTACAAAGGCAGAACTGCATGAGTACAAAATCGTTAGAAGGCCAAAGAGTGCAAAGTGGTGTGAACAGGCAAGGCCCTCCATATGCACAGCTAAACAAGTGTGCAAGGGGATGTGAATGGTCAAGGCTATAACAGCTCAGACAGCAAATCTGTGTAGTAGTGTGAGTGTTGGAAAGCATGAGATTGTGAGCGGGTGTAAGATTATGTGTGTAAGAGCCTATGGTGGGCACACACAGTGCCTTTTGAGTGAGCTCATGAGTGTGCAGCAGGCACACAGCAGGGGAGTCCCATGAAGGTGACATTACGGATGTCTATGGGGTTATGAGCGTGCAGGGCCACCTGAGTGTCACAGAGTACAGGAGGCACTTGAGCCGAGCACGTGAGGTTGTGGTCATTAGTGAACCGAGACCACACAAGACCGTGCGTAAGCAGGACAGTGATGTGTACTGGTCTTGCATGGACACAGGTACCTGAGCTCCAGGAACAGGACAGTGGATGTTAGTGACCACTCAAGTCTTGGGAGAGTAGAGAGGCAACACAGAGAGGAGCACAGACTCCCAATGCTGCTTCTGCACTCACTGTGTGACCTTGGGCAACTGATTACCCTCTCTGGGCCTTACTTTCTTCCTCTGTCAGGAATGACAGTTACCTCTCATCTCTTAGAATTTTTTGAGGTTTAAGTACATCCATATCTCTGAAAAACTACAAGACAAGATATATATCAGGTACTGTGATTCAACAAAGTGGTGCCAGTGTGAGGCTCCCTGGGGCGTATGAACAGGCTGCCACACTGCCGCCCCAGCCAACTGTGTGGATCCCCCAGGGCTCCAGCCTGGCTGTTCCCCATTCTCCCTGGATACTTACATCATCTGTTGTTTTTTTCACTGCCCTGTATGCCCCAATAACCCCTAAAATAGAGGTCGGCCTGGGGTAGATGTCACACACACACCCCTTTCAACACACACACACACACACACACACACACACACACACACACACACACCCTGCTCCACCTGAGAGGTCTCCCTCCCACAGCAGCCCTCTGTGGCTCTCTGTGCCTGGCAGGTAGAACAGCACAGAAAATGTTCAGCCTTTGTTTTAAACACACACTAATCATTTCCCCCAGGCAAACAAAAACTAAATGGCTGTAATTTGGATCTTAGGGTCCCCTAAATATCTGTGAAGCCTTGGCCCCCAACTTGGAATACTGAAGAGGTGAGAAAGGGCCTTTGAGGGTCCTCATTGGAGATTGTGCGATCCTTGCCCTCTCCTCTCTCTCTCACTCCCCCCACCCCTTTGTCCACCACATACTCCCACCATGATGCGCTGCCTTGCCACAGGCCTAAAAAGCAACAGGGTCAACCAACCACGGACTGAAAACCATGACCTTTCGTGTTTCCTCTCTGCAGGTTATTTGCTCAGGGATTCATTAGACAGTAATAGAGAGCTAACTAAATGACTGTCTTCCAACAGCATGTTGGGTGGGAGGATGCAGCTGGGCAGCAGAACCAGCCAACCAGGGAAGGGTCCCAGGCTCACACCAACAAGCTGCTCTCCCTAGGACTTCGCATGGGCTGTTCCCACCACCAGAAACTTTTCCTCCCAGTCCCCTTCACTTAATTCCATAACAGGGCCGACCCAGCCACCTATTTAAAACTGCAGTCTTCCTGGCACTCCCCACAGCCTCTCTTCTTGATTGACTTTTCCCCCATGAGATGCATCCCCTCTCACATCCGTGTGGCTTAAGTATTACCTCTCTTGGTTTTCTTCCCGTGTGCAAATGGAAAGGGGTCTATTCTCTTTTGTTCTCTGAGGTATCCCCAGGACCTGGAGCAGTGCGTGGCACCTAGGGTGCTCTGTTAATCTGAATGACTGGCTGACCTGTCTGGAGTGGCCTTGGGCAACTCCTTCCCTGTCCTACAACCTTCTTGCCCCAGCTGTCCATGACACCTGAAGTGGGACACTCTCGGGAGTGTGACTTAACTCTGAAGTACTGGTCCCTGGGGCACTGTGACCCTGGAAGCAATGCCTGTCCAGATGTCTTGCACTGCCTGGTCCCTCCCAGCCCAGGTTAGTGCAGCTCCAGGCCCCCTGCTACCTGGCCCTGGCCCTGGCCCTTTCTGCCTACGAGCCCCGTGAAGGATGGCGTACAGTGCCACGGGCTCACTTAAACTCTCAGCAGCTCTGTAAAGTGAGTCCCTGATTGTGTTCGAGTCCAGGAGAGGAAGCGGATGATCTAGGACCATCGACCAAGGAAGCAGGACCCAAACTCTATGTCCTGCTAAGACTCATGCTCTGAGCCAATGGTTCTTAATGTTGGTGCACACTAGAAGCACCAGCCAAAACTTAAAAAATAGCTAATTCCCGGGTCTCAGTACCAGGAGCCTGGGTTAATGTGGGTGGGGTCCCTTGGGCCTCAGCCCCTCTGTCCAGCGAGGAGGAGCAGTCGGGGTGAGAGAGACCTCAACGCTTGCCTCCCTACCGTGAGCAGCCATGGTCACTGACTGTCTGCTGTGACACAGACCAGTGAGGAAACAGTGTGAGAACCTGGTCAGGACCTCATGGAGAGAGACGGAAATAGGATGTCCACCTGGCCATGAGGTCAAAATTATAACCCTCCCACTCAAGGTTTTCCATCTCCCTTCTTTGCTGTGTCCTTCTTCATATTAAATGTAACATATTTTATTGACCTCCTCCTGGCACATGAGGTCTGCAGAGACTTCCTGGTTCCCTGCAGTATCCTCAGTGCCATATCGGCACTCAGTATCTGTGGAATAAATGAATGAACAGCCTGGGTTCCACAGCTGTTTATTTTCTCTCTCTGCTTTAGCCGTCTGCACATAGCTCTAGATGGTTCCACTTTCACAGACAGGAAGAAACTAAAATCCAGCAAGGATGAAGGACTCCCTGCAGGTGACTATGCTCCTAAGCCTCCAGAGCCACAACTCCCATCCATGCCTGGGGACACTATTTCCCCTTCTCAAAAGCAAGAAGAAAAGCCGTGAAAAGAGAAAGCAAACAAGAGTCGAGCAGAGGCGGTGAATTAGGAGAGAGAGAGGAGACACATAATCTCTGGGTTGGAGACGTTAGTGAAATTAAATCAACCAATCTGACTTTAGCTGAAATCTGGCACGGGATGGGCTGACGTGGTCCCTTTAAGCCCCAGGAAAACTGAGATTGCAAGGGACAGCAGCTCTTGGCCCCCACTAGAGGAGGAAACAGCCAGGCTATACTGGGAAACTTACAAACAGGTGGCAAGAGGCACCAATTCCCCGGGGAGGCTGGGAGTGACAGGTCCCTGGGAAGGGGGAGAAACCATGTGTGGGGCGCTCTCTCTCAGCCTGTCTCTCTAAGACCAGCCGGTGCTCCCGGGGGGACAAGAGGAGTGCAGCTGGAGAGGGGGAGGAGGAGGAGGAGGAGGAGGAGGCTGCCCACAGCCATCTAGCAGAGAGGGATCCTCAGTGGAAGCAGTCCCTCCTCTGAAGTGCCGGGCTGCCCCTCACTTGGCCTTGTGATTCCCATAGGGCATCTCGTTGTCTCCAGAGGAAAACTCAAGATCCCAGCAGCCTATGCTACCTGGTCTTGGAGGACCCTGTCTGCCTCTCCTGCCCCATCCTTAACTGAGCTCTAGTCATACTTGCTTTACCACCTCAGGGCCTTTGCACAGGCTTTCTCAGTTTCTTGGCATGCTCTTCTCCCTCTCCTTCTAACGAGCTTCGGTTGAGTCAAGCTTCAACTTACATATGACTTTCTCCAGAAAGATTTCCTGATCCCCATCCCTGGAATACTGCCAGAAACAACCGACAGCAGTCCTGTCCCCTTCTTAGCACTTTCCCTATGTGCAGCTAACTAGTGATTACAATCATTGGTCCACTATGAAACTTCCTCCCCAGCCTTGACTCCCAAGAGGAGGAAGCTATGTTAGTGTCTTTTTGCTATGGTCCCAGCAGCTCATACAGTTCCTGGGCTCAAACAAACCCTCAGTAAACACGAGGTAGACATGTGACTTTTTTCCTCCCTTCTATGGACAGGAGGAAATGCATCTCTTTTCCCTCCTGGCACAACTTGACCTACGTGCTTACTAGTGGTTGGCAGTGGCCACCAGCCTTGTTCCGATCTAGATCCAGCAGACAAAATCCTGGGAGTTACTGAGGTCCATGTAAGAGACTGGTCAAGGCTGTAACAATAGTAACTACGTAGTCCTGAGACAGAACTTCTGAATTTAATAACAACTAAATACAGCTGCCTTTCCCGATCTAGTAGAGACTGCAGCAACATGATTTCAGGTCTGGGGCCGTAGCTCAGTGGTACAGCAGTTGCCTGGCA